GCCATCGCAGTCGTCGAACGAGGGGCGCCGAGACGTTCCGACGTGTTCGGCCATTTTTGGGGGTCCTTGGTGGTCTCCCTCCTCCTTCCTCCGTCCTCCTCCGTGCTCCTGCTGCTCCCCCCCCCCGCACGCACTCCTCCTCATCCTTCTCCCCGCTCCCTCGCTCCTCCCCCTCGTCCTGATTCCCGGGGCCGTGCATGCTCGACACAGGCGCCACGGTGGCGATCGACCCGGGCTGCGACACGGCGGCGGGCAGGCAGCGAGTCTGCCGCAGGAGCGGGCTCGGGTGCAAGGCGGGCCGCCGGAGGGCGGCCAGGATCACCAGGGTGCGAAGGAGCGCGGCCCTCGCGCTCGAGTCCAGAGGGCTCTGGGCCAGCTGCGCCCTCCCCCCGGCGGCCTACGGAGCGCTGGTCATGGGGCTGGCGCCATGGGGAGGATCCAGGAGCTGCGCCGCCAGGCGGCGGCGGCTGCGGAGGGGTGTGCGCGGGGGAGGTGCCCCACCACCACCCTTGCGGCCACGGTGGGCGAGGACCCTGGCGTCGCCATCCGCCTCCGCGTCCTGGCATTCCTGGCTGGCGCTGTGGGAGGAGGCCCCCGAGCGGCACCCGCGCATCATCAGGGCCCGGGGGCGTGTCCGCCAGGCGCTCATCACGGCCAAGGGCAACCGCTGGAGGCGCGTCGACGGGCCGCTGGGCGCCGTGCAGGCGGTGCTCATGGACATGGGCTGGGAGCCGACCTCGGCGACGTGCTGGATCAGGCCCGAGCGCAAGGGCGACTGGTCCAGGCAGGCGTCGAGGGCCGCGGGCGACGACTACACGGAGTGGCACCTCGTGCAGAGAGACAGCGCGGATTTCTGAGGTTTCATCGGCCATGTGCCGCTGCTGACGGACGCCAAGGAGGACCTCCCGCACCAGCTCTGGAGGAAGGCTACCCTCTACGAGGCGGGCGGCGGCCTGGAGAACGGAGCGGGCCCGTCGCAGATCCTGGGGGAGCAGCGGCGCCTCGCGAAGCACAACAAGTGGAGTTAGTGGGGCCTCAATGCCACAGTGGTCGGATGAGGCCAGTGGACGAGGGCCCGCAGACACGACGCGGGCTATGATGTTTCTCCCGCTTGCCCGCGCTGCCTGGCGGCGCCAGAGACGCTGGCGCACAGGACTTGGGAGTGCTCTGGCAACACTAACGATTTTCATGAGCTCAGGGTCTCTAGCGCGCTGGCTGGACAGGCCCTGGCAGGCCTGGAGGCCGACCCCGCGCTCTGGCTCAGAGACCTTCCCCCTGCCCACATCACCCTCCCTCGCTTTGATGAGGAAGGCCTCGCGGGCACCGGGCTGTCTTTTGGCGCGGGAGCGCTGGAGGACTATCAGGGAGAGGACGGGTGGGTCACAGTGTTCGGGGACGGGTCGGGGGGTCGGTACTCGGACAATCTTAGGAGGCGACGCTGTGGAGCAGCGATCGTGATAGTCACGCGGGATGAGGACTCGCAGTGCTGACAGACGGGGGTCACGAAGATCAGGCCTCTGTCGGGGCCAATCCAGTCTGTCCCCAGGGCCGAAACCCTCGCTGGCTCTTGAGCATACTTCAGGAGATTTGCTTTTGGTCACCGACCACCAGGCCCTCAGGACGGCCTGGCCCCAGAGGTCCAGGAAACGCACGGGGGGGCAATAAAGACCTGTGGCACAGAATCCGGCAGGCCTTGCGGAGCAGAGCTGCGGGGCGGGTCGATATCGAATGGACGCCCTCACACGCTGAGGATGACGCGGCCCAGTTGGCCACCCCCCGAGGCTGCTTCCTCGCCGCAGGCAACGCTGCGGCCGACGTGGGGGCGGGAGTGAGGGCGGAACTGGCTTGGGAGGGATGGGTCGTGCATGAAGCTGCGCACCGTGACCTCTGGGACGCCACAGCTGCTTTGGACAGGAAGAGGGCTAGGCGTGCCCTCCAGCTGGTGGCTGAGGCCGACACCGAGCGCGCTGCCGATCGCCCTGTGCGAGCTGCCCGCCCGCCGTCGAAGACAAGACGGCAGCGGGCCATCGATCGCTCGTCGCCGAAGTGGCAGTGCAGCTGCTGCTTGCAGATCACGCATGCTGCTGACCTCCTCGAGATTTGTGCGACCCCCCCCAGGCCCCCCGCGACCGACTGACCGGGGGGAGGAGCTGCAGTCGGGAGTTGCGGGAGGGGCCCACCCCACACACTGCATGGAACGGTTCGGGTCACTCTCGTTGCATTGTTGCCATGCGCGCGCCGCTTTGCGACTGGGTTTCCGCCATCGGAGACAGCCCTGCCCTGGTGTGGCCAGGAAGGGCAGGGAGAACCATTCGAGAATCAAGAAGGGGCTCTATCCTAGAAGGGAAGGAGCCCCAGCTGCCATCCGCGAAACTGTTCGTCAGGGGCAGGAGGCCGAAGCCATCCTGCAAGCTGCGAGCCGCCGATAGCTTCGGACCGAGGGGTCGGCGGGGGTATCCTGTGGCGAGGCGCACAGCTCCGAGGCGCGGGACGCCGAGACGGGACCAGGGCCTGGACCCGAGGACGAAAGCTCGGAATTCGAGGAGCTGCCTGCTGGCCCTGTGGACGCAGAGGAAGAAGCGGCGGCGTGGCTCTTCGGGGACTGAGTTGTGGAGTCGGAGGCCCTCTTAGATGTGTGCGGCGTTGGCGTCAGCTCTCGTCCGGAGGCACTTTCGGGGTGACCTCGCGCCGGAGGGCGCTCCCTTAGCATCCATGCCCTGGCGTCCTCCCTCTCTCTCTTCCCTGTCTTATACATATATATATATATATATGTCTGCAGCATCTCGCGCGCACCGACCATAGACAGCCTCGTCCCTCGTCTTCGTCCTCCTCCCGCCTCCCCATTACCCTCCCTCCCTCGCCGCCCTCCTTCCTGCCCCTCCCCCCTGGCCCCTCCGCGCCCTCCGTTCGCAGAAGGGGGAGATGGGTCCAGGGGAGCGCCCGCCTGCAGCGGGCGCCGGGGCGGCGGGGCCCCCGGCGCTCGCCCTCTTGTCTCTCCCCCGCTGCTGCTCGTTGTGCCGACGCTGTGCCACGCGCGCTGGGAGCGTCCGCCCCTGCCGAACACCCCCAAGAGCCCGAGCACAGCCGTGGCGTTGACCACCTCCGTTGTGCGTCGAGCTGTCCGGCGGGCCCGAGGTGGGGCCCTCCAACACGCTGAGCTCTTCCCTGTGCGTCTCGGTGCGGCCCTTCTCCGCCGCAGTGCCCGCCCAGGTGGGCCAGCGACAACGGCGGCGAGGAGGCGCTTCTGGGGGCGCGCGCGGCTGCCCCCCCCCCTCCCGCCCAGCGGCTGCTGCTGGGCGTCTCCCTTTCTCGACCGCCCCCTTTACTCTCGAGGGGAAGGGGGGGAGAGGGGAGGCGACGGGATGGGCGACGGGGGGGGGGGAGGCGAGGCGAGGGGCGGGGGGGCGAGGCGAGGAGGGGGGGAAGGGAGGCGAGGCGAAGAAGAGGGGGGGAGCGAGGGGGGTGGGGGGGGGACGAGGAGGGGCGAGGCGAGGCGAGGGGTGGCGAGGGGAGTGGGCGGGGAGGGGTGGAAGAGGGCACGTCGTGACGGCTGGGTCCGCCTCGAGATGTATGTCAAGACGCATTCTTGGATAAGTCTGGGGAGTAGCAGGATCGGTTCCCTATTGTCCCCACCGGGGGGGGAAAGCAGAGAGGGAGGGAGGAGGTGATGGACGAATGTAGGTTATCATGATGCTCTTGTTGTTGATGCCGATGGGTATGATGATATAGGTATGATGCTAATGGTGATGAGGATGGGGATGCGGATGATGCTGCTGATGATGCTGATGATGGCGATGATGATCAGGGCTGAGGGGTGAGAACTGAGGGACGGTGGAGGTGGTGGTCGGTTGCGTGGCAGTCCGTGAGTGCTCGACGCAAGAGTCGAGGAGTCAGGGAGGATGATGAGGAGGAGCAGCAGCAGGAGGAGCAGGAGGAGGAGGAGGAGGAGCAGGAGGAGGAGGAGGAGGAGAAGGGAGGATGGGGTGAGAGGAGGGGGAGAGGAGGGAGGAGGGAGGAGGGAGGAGGGAGGAGGAGGAGGAGGGAGAGGAGGAGGAGGAGGAGGAGGATCGGTGGAGGAGGAGGAGGAGGAGGAGGAGGAGGAGGAGGAGGAGGGGGAGGGGGAGGAAGGGTATAGAGGAGGAGGAGGAGGAGGAGGAGGAGGAGGAGGAGGAGGAGGAGGAGGAGGATCGAGGAGGAGGAGGAGGAGGAGGAGGAGGAGGAGGAGAAAGAGGAGGAGAAAGACACTGAATACTGAAACTCCGAGGAGGATGACGGCTCCTGCCAGTGGACGCCAGCAGCTCATGGCCCTGGCACGCGCCCAGCTCGACGCAACAGTCGGCGACTTCGCCAGGCCTGAAAGCAAGCTATCCGGGTACAGCTTGCTCTTTCTCAGAGCGTGAATTACCTAATTATCCCGCTTTCATTTCCAGGCAAAGCCAAGCCATACCACGCGCCTCCTCGTCAAGCGGCCTGACCAGTACAGGCTGCAATGTGGCATCGTTTGGTATCTCTTGGAAGCGAGGGTGGTCAAAAGCGAGGTAGGTTTGTTTTCCCCCTACTTTCAGACGAATTCTCTTGGCGAGGGCAGCCATCTTGGTTTCGTAGGACTGGGGGGGGGGGGGCTCGGACGACGAAGCTCGGGAAACGCGGGTGTTCTCGAGCTCTGGCCGCTGCATTGCACAAGACACACTGTTCTGAGCGAGGAGAGCGGCATCAGCCTGCCGTGCAAGCCTCTCGTGTGGACCCACACCGTTTTGCAGGTCAGACAGAACCTCAAGCCCCTTCTGGTGGGGGCTCGCACTGCATTCTCACGTTCTTGCGCCTGGACTGCTGAGCCCATGCGCCACACTTTCTGCATTCATACACTGGATCCGAGCAGCCTGGACCAGCAGGGGACTCCCCCCTGGTTCACTGCAATCAGTGTTTGGAGGAGGAGGGGAGGAGAGAGGTGGAATGATAATGGATTGCAGGGAAGTTGATGATGAGGCGGAGAGGGAAGG